GGATGAGTAGGCAAGTGACTACCTCTCTAGATGCTGGCCCCGAATGACAGAACAAGAATGGTATTATTCTGTGCTGTCTACGTAAAAGCTTTCACTTCCTCTGTACTATTTACACAACTCATTTCAAGAAGACTTTTGGGGTCTTTTTTGGTTTCTGTGTTGGTCAGGTGTCTCTGCCTGCTCTCAGTTGTGTATGAATGAAAGAAAGAAATATGTGGGGTACCTAGGTCAAGTGTACCACATTTAGAACATTATCCCCATTTTTAGCTCTTGGTCTCGTTTCTGCTCTCTGCCATGCCTCAACCAACTCTTTTGTAGCTCCTTCATTGTATTTTTTGGCAATGGTTTTGGGTGTTATTCCTAGTCAAACCTCTACTATTACTTTTGTTTTCTGGGAAATTGTTGAAGTTTCATTTACTTTTCTCCTCTTCTCCATCTATCATCCTTCTCTTCTCATAAGTACATGCATACAAACACACATAAATTTACTCTTTTATTTATTCCTCAGTTTTTCTTTCTTTCTACATTTTTATTTTAGCAGTGTATAGGAAAGAACATCAGGCAAAATGTTTGCGAAGTCCACCATCTTGAACAATAAGCCAAGAAGAGCTCTCTATATTTTATAAGCCTGTATTTTGCCACTTGGATAAAACTTACTGCAGAATCCCCTTAGCCAACTGTCCCTTGGTCACATGACCATCTCTACAAAATTCTTATTCAAAGGTAAATAGAATTACTTCCAGGGTAGTGGACAGAAGTTACATTTCTTTAGTTGTTTGCTAACTTAAAAAATTAATTTTATTAAGGAAGAGGAGAAAAATGGTGATGGGGTAGGCAACTAATAGTGTCTGCCATGGTAGTGATCTAATTTTTTTTCCCTTACCATCATCATTTATTAAAAAGACTGCAGAAGTTCATTTTAGAATTGAGTCTATCATTAAACAGCAACCCCCAGGAGCGCCTGAGTGGCTCAGTTGGTTAAGCGTCTAATTTCGGCTCAGGTCATGATCTCACAGTTCGTGAGTTCAAGCCCCGCATCGAGTTCTGGGCTGACAGCTCAGAGCCTGGAGCCTACTTCGGATTCTGTGTCTTCCTCTGTATGCCCCTCCACTGCTTGCACTCTGTCTCTCGCATTGTTTCAAAAATAAATAACATTACAAAAAAATTTTTTTAAAAAATCAGCATCCCCCAGAGGTTAAGTGCCAAGTACAGGTAAGGAACTGCACTGGAGTACAGCAATGATAGAATTTTAAGACACAATGTTGTAAGTTGGGGTTGGCAAAAAGAAGGGGGGAACAGTGGACTGAGAATATGTGAAACACAAAAGGCCTAGAAACCAAGGCTGTGGGACACTGGTGAGCTGAGCAGACCTAGTGGACATGCATACTGAAGGAGACACTAAGAGATTAAAGGGCTAGAAATGAATGAGTCTGGAGCATATCAACCCATTCTGACAATCCCTGAAGAGATAAGGCTGAGAATGAGAGGCTAGCATGCTAAGGATGCTAGAACATATTGATGAAAAGAGACAACCCTTGGATGACTTTGTTGAGCCACTGAAAATATGCTGGAAACACTTCTACCTTGAGATTTTCTGTTTTTGAGATGATTTTGAGAAAATTAAGGCACTATTACTCAAATGATCTAGTTACATACACACATGTATATAATTTTACATATATGGGTTCATGTTGTATATGTATTATTTTGCAAATTACTAGTTGTACTCCTTGATATATTTCCATATCAAGCAATATAGATTCATGTTATACTTTTTTTAATGCCTACAAAGTATTCTACTTTAGAGATGTGCTATATAGTAATCCCCCCTTACCTGTGGGGGATACTTCCAAGACTGCCCAAGTGGATGCCTGAAACTAATGATAATATCAAACCCCGTATGCACTGTTTTTTTCAATACATTAATACTTATGATAAAGTTTAGTTTATAATTAGGCACAGTAAGAGATTAACAATGACTAATAATAAAATAGAATAATTACAATGTACTGTAACTGAAATTATGTGGATGCAGTCTCCCTCTCTCTCTCTCTCTATCTCTCTAAATATCTTATTATACTGTACTCACCCTTTTTCTTTTGTTGTGAGATGATAAAATGCCTAGGTGATGAGATGAAGTGAAGTGAATGACACAGGCATTGTGACATAGCATTAGGATACTATTGACCGTCTGATGATATCTCAGAAGAAGGATCATCTGCTTCCAAGCAGTGGTTGACCTCAGGTAACTAAAACAGCAGAGAGGGAAACCTTTGATAAGAGGCAGGGCTACTATAATTTCTTTAAATCAATCCCCTCTTGTTTTTGGAATATCTTTTAAAGTACGAGTTTTAGTTGGTTGTCCAGCCACCCACTAATTTCAACCCATCCTACTCAATATTGCCAAGAGAATCATAGATTCCCATTCCCTAACTGCCAAAGTCCTGATTGCCTAAAGTACTCACTCAATTCCTTAAAAATTGAATCTTCTTACAGATTAGTTGTTATCTAATTTTAACTTTATTGTCACTACCTTCCAATAAGAACCTTCTATTATAGACAAACAGGTTACTTGTTTTCATAGAGTAAATCTGCAGTCTTGTTTCCTTGTCTTTGCTCATGGCATACTTCCTGGACAATCTTCTTTCTCTTCATTGGGAGTCCTGCAATCAGACTGCCTTTCCACTAACATTCAAAAAAATTTTTTCTAATGTTTATTTTTGAGAGAGAGAGAGAGAGAGAGAGAGAGAGAGAGAGAGAGAAACAGAGCATGAGTGGAGGAGGGGCAGACACAGTCTCTGAAGAAGGATCCAGGTTCTGAGCTGTAAGCACAGAGCCTGATGTGGTGCTTGAACTCATGAACCTCAAGATCATGACCTAAGCCAAAGTCAGATGCTTACCAACTGAGTCACCCAGGTGCCCCTCCACCAACATTTTGGAAAACCCTCCAGGGATTACACAGAGGATAAAGATGGTTCTTAGAGATCAATGAAGTGTATTACCCTCTAGGCCAGGGCCGTCTAATAAAAATGATGCAAGCCACCTATGTAATTTAAAACTTTCTAGGGGTGCTTGGGTGGCTCAGTCATTTGAGCATCCAACTCTTGGTTTAGGCTCAGGTCATGATCTCATGGTTTGTGAATTTGAGCCCTGCATCGGGCTCTGTGCTGACAGTGCGGAACCTGCTGGGGTTCTCTCTTTCCCTCTCTCTCTGCCCCTTCTCTGCTCGCACTGTCTCCATATTTCTCAAAACAAATAAATAAATAAACTAAAAAAAATCTCTTAAAAAATCTTACTAGCCACATAAAAAAATAAAGTTAAAATTACTTTTAATATATTGACTCAATATATGCCAAATGCTAATATTTCAACATAGAAGATCCATGACATGGATCTTATATACTCAATATAAGAATTCAGATATTTTACCTTTTTTTGGTATTAAGTTTCAAAATCTGGTATATATTTTGCACTTACTGCATGCCACCATGTTTAAAGGGTAAAGGGCTGCATTTGGTTAGTTCTAGGGCAGTTTTAGGCAGGGTCCATTTTCAATTTCCTTCTTCTCCCTTAAGTCTCTGGAACTGTGATGAGAACAATCTATCATGTGAATTCCTAGCACTTATTGTTAGTACCGCTCATTATTATGTGGTTCCCTGTCATTATTTATCTTTTGATACATTTATCTTGTCTCATAAACTAACCTGTAAATTCTTTGAAGTCTGGGACCAAGGGCTTATCCGATCTCAAGGTTAAAAATAACTTTAATAAAACCAGGAACTAATTCTGCTCTTGATGTATGGCTCCCCTGCACCTAGTGCCTCTGAAATAAGCCTTGGAATCTAAGGTCAAATCTGGTGGTTGATGCATCCACACATCCTAAGGCAGACAACTTATTTGACTAGTGCTAGAAGGGGATCTTCAAGATCTGAAATGTTTCTCTCAAGTCTGCTTTTCTTGAGACATGAAACAAATTATGTCACATGATGAGTCTTTATCCAGTACTTTTCAACCAGTACTTTTTTATTTGTCACGTTTTGGGGTTCTCTTTGTCATCAGCTCTCCTCCGAAATAATTCCAACTTTTCTGAGGTTTTGCTTTTTCTTTTTTTCTTTCTTTCTTTCTTTCTTTCTTTCTTTCATTTTCTTTCTTTTTTTTTTTTTTTTTAACATGCTCAATCTAGACTGAACGTAGAACTCCGGTTATGGCTTGGCCAATGAGGAATTAACTGGATCACTGTTGACTGCCTCTCTATAAAACACAGTTCCACTAGGCATCAAGACGCATTCGTTATGAGAACGGCAAGTTGGAAAGTTAAGGAGCCACAGCACATTAAGTCATGCCATCTTCACATCCCTGATGTTTAGTCTAGAACTGTGTACACATACACCAGGCAGTTCTTGAGGTTAGTTAATTTTTCTTGATATCATCTTCCTGTCTTTGCAAATGAGCCAGGGAATCTTCAGACATTGTGTTTTTGGTGTGGGCTGTCCCACCAAAGGACCCGCTAGCAGAGATAACTTTTAAGAGAACTAAGGTGAGGACTAAGAAAGTTTAAGGAAAGCGAACCTGAGTCCAGGGAACCGTATATAAAGTGTCCAGTAGCCGGGAGCTCCGGCTGGTGAAGATGGCAATTACCCGGTTCCTCATACTGCTCTTCCCTCCTGTATCTTAATAGGAATTATTACTTCTTTGTCTTCATCTTAGGGAGAAGAACCAGGGAAAAGACGCAGCGAACTCAAGTAATTGCAGAGACAGGCTCTGAGGTGGTGAGCGAGAGGCTGTAGGTCCGGCCCTGTAAGGACACCCACCTGACCAAGGAGTCCTGGGAACGCGCGCGTCCGCGCCCGTGCCCGTTTGGGGGAGCGCCCTCGGCTCCGGCTGGGTCTTTCTCGCAGCTCAGCGGGCAGGAGGCGGGGCGGCGGCGCGCACGCGGACGGGGTGGGGCAGGAGGGAGCTGACGTGCCGACGTTGGCGCCGCTGCCGGGCGGGTGACGTGTAGGTCCGCGCCTGCTCCGCCCCCTTCCTCCTCTCCGGGTTTGTAGGTCTGTCTGGTGGTCGGGGCGCTGTACTCTTTTAGTGGGAGCGACCCCGGCGAGCCCAGGTTGAGGTGCGGAAGAAGGCACAACGGTGCAGCTGCCCACCGGAATCTTCAGCTCTCTTCGCTCCCCACCCGGCGTGGGAAGTAAAAATGAAAACGAAAGGGAGGTAGGCGCGGAGGTAGGAGCTGACCGAGTGATGGGAAGCGCGTGAGCTGGGGCCGAAAGGTGAGGAGATGGAGCTGGAGGTGGGAAGGGGAGGGCAGCTGGCGGGAGGCAGAGACTTGGGGGCGGACGACGCTACGGGACAGCCCCCTCGGATCTCCGAGGGAAGCCACGAGCTGTCATCCCCCCTTGGGGCCTGAAGTTGTATCCCTGGTTTCCGACAGTCTCGTCCACTTTGGAGTTTGTAGGTGGGGGTGGTGATCAAAAAATCACCCTAGCCGTATATTTTACAGGTGTTAGACCACTAGGTGATGACCAGATGGGGAGGTTTTTCCTTCCTGTGCGTAATTTGTTTCCTTCAGTTGGGGGGGGGCCCCCCCCCGGTACAAAGCCGTGGTAACTTTTTCGTTTACCTCATATAGCTTTTTAAGAGAAAAATCTGCTTTGTATTTTTTACCCTCACACTGAAAAGTAAATAGTCTGGGTAGGGTGTTGACCATGGTGAATTGAGGGTGCAATCGACGAGTCTAGAATGTTCATTTTGAAATAAGTAAATGTGTGTGTGTGCGCATGTAAGGGACGTGTTGTGAGTACGTGGGCAGTTGTAAGTTGTATTAAAAAGTCTTTTAAACTTAAGACCATGGGGGAGGGGAAGAAAAAAAAAAAGAGAGGGAGGGAGCCAAACCATAAAAGTCTCTTAAAAATAGAACAATCTGAGGGTTGATAGGGTGGTGGGTGGGAGGGGATGATGGGTATTGAGGGCACCTGTTGGGATGAGCACTGGGTGTTGTGTGGAAACCAATTTGACAATAAATTTCATATTAAAAAAATAAATAAAATAAATGAATAAGTCTTTTAATCATAAATTAACTTATTCATTGAATGCAGTGTGTTCGTGTAATCTGCTGTTATTTGGTTTTTTAAAAGAAGCATAATTTTAGCAGTAACTAAAAGTTTGATGTGATTGGTATCACGTGTTCACTCCAACTAGTGATCATGTTTTCTTTTTACAAGTAAGGTTAGATTGAATAGCCAGTATCTCCATCACTAGATTTCATGTTTCATGGGTTGAAATATTTTTTTTTTCTCATTTTTGGAGTGTTAGGAAAAGTTAGGAATTCAGCTATTCTACTCTGCATTGAACTTGTTCATACATCTTTTATTTTTAATGACGGCTGTAATAGTCTCACATAAGAAGAGTGCTCTTAGAGATGCCAATTAAGCATAGGCTATATAATCTTATTTGAATGAATTTTTCATGATTTAGCCTTCTTGATCCCTGCTGAACAGTTTTCTTTTATCATTTCATTCATTCATATGTGCCAGGCACTGTGCTAGGCCTAGGAAATCAAGAGAGAGTGTCTCTAATTCGGAACTTTCTATGGAAAGTTTAATAGAGGATCTTAACTAGGATTCCTTTTCATGTCGTGGATCTCTAGTGGACCAAAGTAAAGGTTTTCATGAGAATAAGTTATTGTCAATGTTTACATGTAACTGGCATCTAAGGAGGGGCAGATTATTGTCCTTGAACGGCATGACTTGATTTTCCTTTGATCAAAATGAGAGTATACATGCCAATGTTTTGCCAGTTAAGAGTAATTTTTTCTTTTTGCCGAGTTGGCTTAAATACAAAGTTCACAATTGGAAATCAGTTTCTACCTGAAAAGAAAGATTTTATTTTTCCAGTTTTTACATTGGCCACATTGGATCTCCTATGTGTAAATGACTTATAATTCATAAGAATTCTGCACACAAAGCATATTCATCAGAAACATGTATGGTACTTATTGACAAGTAAATTTTTTGTCCCATAGTACCTTCATTGGGGAGGTAGTTAGCGTAAGCCCTTTCAGTGCAATGTATGTCTTCATATAAATACGGCACAGTTTTCAACTTTGAGAAGATATCTACCTGAAATTGAAATTTTAACAACATTTATGGAAAGAAAAAAATGCATAATTACCAAGGAGGAAAGGTATCTTACGTAGTTAGTAATCATGAGAAGGTAGGTGTTATGTGTCTATCTCCTTCTATAAAGTTTTTTAAAGTAGGTACTAGATCTTATTTCTTGTATAATGCCCAGCTCATAGTAGACGTTCCTATATAAATGTTTATTTATTCAACATGTACCATCTCATTTAAGTCCTCACTTTGCATATAGATGAGCAAGGGAGCATGTTTGAGTGTGCCTGATGGGTGTTCAGTTTCATTTTTCTGCTGTTAATGATAATCAGTTATACAGGCTGTCTTATTTATGAAACTCTATTATTCAGATTTAATGCAGTTCAATCCATCTTTGAATATTTCAGTTTAATCAGGTCATTTGCCCTGAAAGGGGAATAAAAAGTCATTTTGAAGCTCCTCTTTATTTCGTTAATCAGAAAGTTGATACCCAGAGAAGTGAGCTGATTTTTTATCATCAAACAAAAATTGACATCTGAACTCAGTTCTCATTATTTTTATTTTACTTTCTTCCTACTATGTCATTTTCCCTCTCCTCATTATAACTTGAACAGACTTAACTCTTGGAAACCTTTGTAAATTAAAATAGAGTCCTATTTTATCTTTCTGGTTTAGGAGTTTGGGGCTTGTCTACCTCCACTTCTGTGATTCACTCTTCAGAGAGAATTGTTGGGAAGTGCATTTGTTATTAAAAGTTTGAAGCTGATGTGGAAAATAAGGGTGGAATTTAGAACAGGTACCTAAGAACGTAGTAAAGTAATTTTTGGTAACAGTAAACATTCTCAGAATATGTTTTAATAAGCTAATTGCTGAGAAATATTTATATTTGAAGGAGATAAAGTTCACACATAGTTATTTAATAACTAAACCAAAGATTCTCAACATTACTGAATCAAAATTTCTGGGGATGGTGTCTAGAAATGTCTTTTCAGGTAACTCCCCAGTGATTCCAATACAACCAGTTCATATTGGAAACTTCTGCATTAAACCATATGAATTCAAAAGCCTCTTAATTTTCTATTCTGTCCTATTAAAGCAGAACTTCAAAAGAAGGGAGGGAATTAATGTCAGGACTATGGAGTAGAGAGGCAGTTTTAATGTTTCCCAGTATTGTTAAACAGTTGCTAGTTATTTTGAAATTAATTCAGTGACTACCAAGTTACTCAGTTCTGTGTAGCTAAGAAGCATTCTTTTAAGAGTGAAGGAAGCTTTGCAAAATATTAGTGCTGTCTGTACCCTGGAGATGGGGACACAAGGGATAACCTAAAGATTACTTCTAGAAAGAGTCACAAATTAATGCTCTGAATATATATTCTCAGAGTTCCTTGGTATAGGCTAAGAACCATGCAAAATATTGGGGAAAAGCAAGACATACACTACTGCAGTCTTGGAAACGACTGTCAAGATGCTGGCTTTGTGAGACTGTTGAGTGAATTGACTTGAGGTGAGGAAAAATGCTAATACCAGTGAGTGCTGTCCTGGTCAACTTGAAGTAAAGCAGAGGCTTTGTCACTGATTTAGAAAGTGAAAAAGTTGCTATCCCTAGTCACTGATTTTGGTGTTAGTTTGGAGAAAAAATAGCTGTTGGGGAGTTTGCAAAATGACTGATTTAACTCCAGTTTTTCAGAGCTCTTCTCTTTGTATTTATTAGAAACAGAACAATGGAAGAACATTATTGAAAGTCTAAATCCAGTGGACATTTTGCCATGTTTCTTGGTAGCATTTGACATGGTTGACCATACCTCTTTCTTAAAACTCTCTGCTTTGTTTCAGAAATACTGTATTCTGGTGTTTCCTTGGCCTTTATTGGCCTTCTACTAGTCATAATTTCCTCTGTCAAGCTTTTCCACCCATTTATTCTTTAAAGGCTTCTGTTCTTCTACCGCTGCCATCTTCTTAGTCTTCACAGATCCTTAGGTGATTTTTAACTATTCCTGTTGTATTCCTGATAATTTTCATTTTTATATCCTGAAAGCAGACCTCAGTCCTGAACTCTTCACCTGAGTATTCAATTCCTACTGACCATTTCTACTTGAATGTCATACAGATATCTCAAACTCAACTTGTTTGAGATTGAACTTGTGATATTACCATAATTACTATTAACTTTTCCCTAGTTCAGTATTAATTGTATTGTGAACCTGATCTATAATTGTGGAAGTCAGTCTTGGACTTTGCATCCCCTCCCATCCACCCCTCTTCTCCCACCACAAACACAGATAATTAGAGTAAGCCAAATAGATTTGACTTAAACACTTGGATTTATCCACTTTTCTCTGAATCACTACTAGTATTTCAGTTTAGGAACCCTTCAAGCCTTCATCTTTTTTCTGCATTACTGCCACAGTCCTTGGCACCAGGACTTTTTTCTGCATTACTGCCACCAGTATCTTTCTGCTTCTGGTCTTGTCTTTTTGTGGTCTATTCCCTTCACTGCAGTTGTAGTAACTCTTATTAAACACAGCTTGAGTCAAAACTCGCTTGGAGATTTCTTTTACTGTCAGAATGATTTCTAAACAGCATGACTTAAATGGCCCTTCATGACCTGATTGCTCTTCCTCCAGCTCCATTTCTTGTCACATTATTCCTTGACCACTACACTGGATCATCTTTTTGTTCCTTGAACGTGAAGTATTCTTACTCTCTATGTTGCCCTGTTTACCTGGCTGACTCTTCATCCTTGAAGTGTCAATATAAGAAACCTGCTTCTCTTTCCCCACTTCCTTTCTTGCTAGGCTAGATGTACCTGCTCTGTGTTCTGGTAAACTCTTTACTGCCCCCTTTTAAAAGTCTTATTTTGTATTGAGATAGCTTGTTTAATCAGCCTGTCTTCACTAGACTGTGAGCTTCACAAGGATAGGTACCAGATTGATTTTGCTCACCATAGTCTATCCAGCCTGGATATAATAGAAATTCTAGTTAAGAAATATCAGGTGAGTGAAAGCTGTTTGTACATTCTTCTGAGGTTTTCCTTCTGAGCCTGTTCTTACCCTAGGTTTTCTAGCAACTGTCAACTTTTACCATTCCTTTTTGTTTTGTGCTTTTTTAGCTTGAGATTTAGAAAATACCCAAATATTAATTTCAGAATTAAATTTCTGCAT